CGCCCCTCGGCATCCTCGCGGCCGCCGACCCGCCGGCCCGCCGCGCGCGCTCGGGGGAGGGGCGAGCGCAGGCCCCGCCCCTGCCCTGCCCTCCGCGAAGGTTCCGGGATCGATCAAAGCCGGTCCTCCTCTAGGGTTTCGCCCGCGGGCGGCCCGGCGCTTCTCGCGCTTCAAAGGCGGCGCCGAGATCCCAGCGCCCCCGACTTCGCTCCTCTCAGACCGACAGAAACGCAGCATCCGAGCTTTGTTTTATGAAAGCTGTTGTATAGCCAAGAGATTTTTCAAAGGTATATATGTCGTTTTTAAAAATACCTTTTTAAATTAAAGCACACGGAAGGCTTTTCCTGTTTGTATATGTGCTAGACATCAAAGGTTTAACGAGTTACTGTGGGCCCGTGAAATAGGAGTGGATGCGGACTTGACAAAACAAGTTTTTCTTTTCCTAGGCCCCTTAGGTCGTATGATGTTTTATAAAACAAAACCAAAAAAACAAACAACCCCCCCCAAAAAACACTGCACCTGGTTCTCTTTAAAAGGAAGATTTATTATCAATCAATAAAAAAGATTGATTATCAATACGGATTTCTGCTTTCTCTTGTCCCATATCACAACAGCAGCTTGCTTTACAGAGTCCTTTCCATAGTGTACATTTGTAAATCGTTTACATTTGTAAACCCTATTATTATAACTCCCATTTTACAGATGGGGAAAATGAAGTTGAAAGAAACCATGTGATTTGCCCACGTTCATAGCGGTCAGTGGCAGAGCCTGGATCCAAACTGGTTGTGGGATTTCAAAAGTCTGTGTAACCACCCTGCTGAACTGTACTGCAGACTTAAAAGACTGTCTTGCTCTGCCCTTTAATTCTATGAACAAGGGTATATAGGATATCACGGCAATGTCCCTGAGCACTCCCCAAAAAATGCTATACTTGCCTTCTCTCTGGTCCTCCACCACAGCTGGAATTGCTTATGCATCTCTGCAGCAGCATGACTCATTCCGACAGAAGACACAGTTCAGCGATAGTAGTACTACTGTATATTCTTGTAGCACATTTTTTCTGACCAGTTTGGGTGCTTCTGAAGCATTACCTTATTCATCTTCCCAGTAACTCAAATACTGTTTCTCATCATTTCAGGAAACTAAGGCACAGAAAAGGTAAATGACCTTGGCCAAAGCCCTATCCGGTGGTAAGTCAAGTGGAGTGTGGATGAGAATGCAGTTTGATGGGACTCCTCTCCGATACTCTGATTCCCCAAGGCCTTCCTGCCTTTGGTGAAAGGGAGTCTGCAATTACTGCTATAATTTGCCTGTCCATCTGCTTACAGGGGGGGAAAATAACATTGCTTTAATGTTTTGTCTTTTTGGTTCCTTTGCATTCTCCTATTTCATTTCACTGCTTATTGCTTCTTGACATCTTATCTCCTGCCCAGTCTCTGGAAAAAATGACTTTGTTTTAATCAATGAATAACTAGCCGGAAATATTCCATATTACCATCACTCGTCACTGGATATAACAGCAAGAAAATCAGGAGCTGTCGACTTTATAGTGTGCTATGATTATAAATAAAAACACCTAAAGTAAATCTTTTTAATATAACAAGTTTAGAAATCTTGTTAGTCCAGCTGTTATATTTGAATGTTTGTATACTACTGAGAAGCCTGTAAGTTGGCCATATACAGTGCCATACTGGGATTCCTTCTAGCTCTCAATCTTTGTCTATTACAAGATTCATTCGTTCAAGATACACTGTATTTCAAAAAACAAGGGAGACTCATTTAAAATACATAGCTTCAGAGTGCTCAGATTGTAATCTAGAATCATAAGTACAACTGTAAAATATCTTCCTAAATTTAAGAAAAGCAGCAAATAAAATACTTGGTAGCATATGTGCATAAGAGACATGCTTCTGATTTTGGGAAATAAGCCCATATGACTATGAAAACCTTATATGTTAGAAAACTGGGCACTCTAGTTTCTCCCCTAAATGAATAAAATTTTAAGTTTAAAAAAAATCTCTCTAGAATACCCGTCTTTGTATATCTTTACCAGATCTATTTTATCCTGCCATTTATACACACACACACACATACATAGACACAGACACACACACACACACACATACACACACACACACATCTCCTTTGTAGGAGAGTAGGAATCATGACTTTCCTATCACCAAATTACCACAAACTTGAGCCAGCGCTGGAATGGTTGGTGAATTTAATTTTCTTTCCGATGCTTGGACCTCCCCATGGAGTTATTTCCCAATAATGTATCCTGTTTTTAGCCCCCTATACCTCTTCATGACAGACTCAGACCTAAACTCATCTCTAACCTCTGCTCTTCATTGTACTTTTTTCATATTCCCATCCTATGAGTCTATTCAGTTTCTTATGTCATAATCTGCCTTAGGAGAAGAAGTATTATCCTGTGACTCTCAGAGCTGCTTTGGAAAAAAGGGGAGGTTTAAAAAGTACTAAGCACTAAAAATAAATGTCACTTTCCCCATATTTAGAGGACAATCCTTGTTCTAAAAAGTGTACAGTTCAAATAAAGCAGAAAGATACACACGATGACAAGGAAAACTCAAGACTGTTTCCTAAAATACGTGAAAGGAAGGAGAACAAGGTGACATCTTAGAAAACAGTGAATCAATTTTTTTCCCCTCTTTTAAAAGGAAGGAAAAAAGTGTGAGACAAGGTGGAGAAAATGGCTCATGGGAGAGAAAATAATTTTTTACTATTAAGAAACATCACTATTCTTACATATTAATATTTATTAGACTCTACCAACAAGGGACTAAAGGTGTAGGTTTATGGTAGACCTTGCCTAGCTGTGAGGCCCCTGGGTTCCATCCCCAGCACAGCAAAAACAAACAAAGCTATCAATAAATCTCGTGACTTTTATTCCTTTCCAAATGTGTTTGTGACACTATGTACATATATGTGTTACATTATTAGGTCACAAAATAAAGAGCATTCTCTGTTTTCATGAAAATATTTTTGGGAAAACATAGGTATAAACAGTTTTTTAACTTTTAACTAGTCAACTGCCAAGTGGTGTAAGAGATATATACCAGAAAAGGTCTCTATTGAAGGACAAAACACATGGTTCCTTCAGCTTAGTAAAAATCAAGGCAGAAAGGGAAAAGACTGAGGTCTAAGGTAGGGGGAAAAACAATACATGTATGTCAGTTTATAAGGGACTTTTTTTTTCTGTGAAGAAGTAAGCCAATACAGAGTCACAGATAAAATGATTAAGTTCATTCATTCAGCACCATGTATGGGGTCCTTACTGGGTACCAGCATTCTGTTGGGTGATAGGGACTGAAAGTTCTGGCTAGCACTGGGCAGTTTAGAAAGGGAGATGGAGCTTCAAATCTGTGAGTATAAGATGGGAAGCAGCGTCTCTGTCCCTGTCATAAAATAGAAACCTTCTGTAATAATTGTGTGCCAAGGATATCATGTGACCCATTCAAGGTCTGTCTCCAGCGACAGCCTTTTTTATTGTTGATGTTTTGGAGAGCTCTTTAATTATGAAAGGAAAATTGGACAAGATGTGTAGCAGCTCTGTTTTTATTCTGCTGCTGACTGATCCCTCTGCTGCCTCGGGTTCTAGACTAAATTTAGGACATCGCCTGAGGGCTGGAGAGTAAGAGGGAAGGAAACAGGTCAACCACAGCTTCAAGGAGTCGCCATCTGAACCCTTGGACTTGCTCCTCTTACTTTACCCCAGTCAGTAAAGCTGCAGTTATCTACTTCTGTTTTAAAATCAAGATTTGAAGGGCGGGTCAGGGATTTAGCTCAGTGGTTCTGCCCGCTGCTTTACAAGCACAAGGTCCTGAGTTTGATCCCCTGTACCCCAAAAAGGATTCAAGGGGCAGAGAATTAAGAAGTGTGTTATAATGCAGGGGCAGAGCATGGGGGTGGGGTGGTGGGTGTTGAGTAAGGACTTTAGCTGAATTTGTTTTTCAGTGCTGAGAAATAAAGCTCAAGCCCTCACACATGCTAGATAAGCACTCCACCACTGAGCTACCTACATCTTCAGCTGTCTACTTATTTCTTGGGACAATTTTTTTTTTTTTTTTTTTTTTTTTGGTACTGGGAGTCAAACTCGGGACCTTGCACTTTCGAGGCAGGCACTGGAACCACTGAGCTAAATCCCCAGCCCCGAGCTCTCTACTTATTTCTTTCTTTCCTCTTCCCTTTCTTTTTCCTTCCTTGTGATGGGTCTTGCAAGTTGTCCAGGCTGGACTCAAACATGTGATCCTCCTTCCTTGACCTCCAAAGTAGCTGGGATTACAGGCACGTGCCACCACACCAGGCTTTTGGCTGAATTTCATACTTGGCCTTGCCATTAAATGGTATGACTTTGGACAAACCAGTTAACTTCTGCTTCCACTTAGACCTCCGGATCTTTATCTGTACTGTGAGGGCATTGGTCCATTTAAGACATTATGTATGACTCTTTCCCCTGAAATCCTGTGCTTTTTATGAGGTGAACACTCCTGTGACTAAAGTTGGGTATGTTTTGTTACAGTGAACAGACAGTTAATTAGATACCTGCTCTATAGACTTGTTTGGGATGTTGTGTCACACAGGTAGCTTGTTAAAAATGTTTGAAAGAGCAATTTACAGTTTTTTCACATGCACTATCATAGTTAAGTTGTACAGAGGGCTCTGTAACACAACATTTGCATAGAAGCAAAAAAATGGGCTCTAAGGAGATATTATATGATGTAGACACAGAGTGGCAGCCTCAGAGTTTAAACCTGGGCTTTCAGATATTAGATTTCCTGTTCTGTCCACAAGGTGTTCCATTCCCTTCTCAAACCTGCTTCATGCTCTGAGTCTCTTTCCTTACCCACAGCGACTCCCCTACCTACTGAGGTTGGCATGTGCTCTTACCACTTCCTGCACCTGCTCCTCCGGGTTGACAGGATCCCCCTATGGGCTACCAAACTGTAGTAGATCTTTTCCATTCCAAGCTTTCAGGATCTGCTGTATTCACTAGTCACCACTGTTACTCCTTAAAGTTCTCTACTTTTGGGTTTCATGGCACCACTTCCTTGTAATTCTTTTCCTATTCTTTGGGCAATATTTCCCCAAAATTGGTTCTATCTGGAAATCATTGGGGGAGCTTCTTTAAGAATCAATTCCCCAGACCATTTAACCAGAACCTCTGAGGTTAAATCAAGGAACAACATTTAACAGGCACTTTGGTGATTCTTATGTACCTTAATGTCTGAGAACCACTGCTCAGAATGGTAATCATTCCTAATCTATATGCCCAAACTTCTGAGTTTTGGATCATATCAAATTTCTTTGTAGGCCTATTTAAGTACTTAAAACTTAACATACCCAAACAAGTCACTTTTCCTCCAAACACACCATCCCATGTATTACCCTGTTAGTGAATGGTACCAGCATCCAACCAAAGGCCCATATCAGAAACTGCAGAATCATTCTTCCACGACTAGCTCGTCAATAAGTTGCACTAATTATACATTCAATATATCACAAAGTTCTCTTTCTTATTCCCACATCCTAATATGAGCACTCGTGACTGCCAAAGGATAATCTTTTAAAAAATGCAAATCTGAGTATGTTCCTTTCTTGCCTAAAATCCTTCCGTGACTCAAAAAGCTTAGAGGAATAAGATCCCAAGCCTATTGCTTCTCATTTGAGGACCTACCTGATCGGAGACCTGCCACCCTACATGTTAGCCATTCGGGATAGCCTATAGTTCTCTAAACATGCCAGGCTCTTTCAAGACTCTACATGCCACTCTCTCTCTCTCTCTTGCTTATTATCTAAAAACACTCCTATTAATGTTTAAATTTCTTTTTTTTTTCTGGTACAGGGATCGAACTCAGGACCTTGCACTTGCAAGGCAGGTGCTGTGCCACTGAGCTAAATCTCCACCCCAGTGTTTAAATTTCTAAAGTTACTTCTGCTAAGAAATCATTCCCAATTCCTTTGGACCAACCTACTTAGTACCTCCATACTCTTATATCTTCTCTTCTGAATTAATATTGTATATTCTCTGCCTTAAACTTATTAAATAAGACATTTTATTTATCCTTACCACCTAACATTCAATAAATATTTCTAAATGAATAAATTATAGTACTCTCATTTACATAGTGCTCCATATTTTGCAAAATATTCCATATTTGATTCTTATTTCTGTTTGTATTGCTGCAACCTTCCATGAGTCATACTTCTATCCTTTCTTGGATTTAACACTCCCTTAGCTTTTTTTTTTTCCTTTAGCTTTTTATAGATGATCCCATATAGAAGAGGAAAAAGTGGAAGGGGCCCAAGAGCAGCTTAGCAGTGTATGAAAATAGCTATTTCTATAGTGCTGTCTACCTGGCTTAAAGAAGACTAAAGATTTGTAGTTATTTTGAGTGAGACATTGAAGAACAGAAAGAATCCAACACTACCTTTACTTTGTTAAAGGAGTCTATGGATACTTTCTTTGAAAATGAATTCTTCCTAGAGAA